GCGCAGGCTCTGGCATAGGACCGTCGTCTACCTCGACCTCAAGCTCCGCTTTTGGGACAGGTTCAAGCTCGGGTACAGGCAGGAACTCAGACTCTGGTTCCGGCTCAGTCACTGGCGCCGGCTCATCCAGTCCAGCAATGAATTGACTGGCCTCCTCTCTTGCCCTCTCGAAAATGCCGAGCGTCTCATCGATGATGAAGCGGTCAAAGCTCGCCTGCTTCCCAATGCCATAATCCCGGATAATATGTCGTAGAGACACTTCCTCATTCATAAACGCGAGCTCCAAACGCCCCCGAACAAACCCTTCAAGCCAAGCACGGATCGGTTTCTCCTCGCCAAGAATATCATATACCTCGCTTGTCACTCTTAAGATATCCTCCGGAGGCAGCCGATCGGCAAATATCTCCAGGAAGTACCTGGCCAGCTCCTGTAGCTCGGAAATCTCGTACCGCACCGCCGCAGCGTAGGTGTGCATTGCGCGTGCAAACTCCTCATTGTTGCGGGCGCGTAGGATGCTGGACGCCTCGGCAGCAGTCTCGATGGATGGAAACGGGCTGTAAAGCGTCTCATATTTACCTGTGGAGAGGTAGTGGATGAAGCTATGGGCGGCTTGGGGTTCGATAGCCAGCTCCAAATGAAAAGTTTCGCCCCCTGTCCAGCCTGACCAATCGTTATATGTCCTGGGTCTTCGGTAGACGTCGGATGGATTGCACTCGAGTCGAGCGTAAGGACGCAGGTAGTATTGAAGAATGGTGTAGTATTCGTTCTTTACTTTGAGTGTGATCGGGGCGGTCTGGTAGGGACTGTTGCTGTTAGAGCCATCTTGCATGGAAGAGGAAATCACGAGAACAACAGAAGAGAATATCAATACCGGAAAGAGAAAAAGTAGGAGTAATGAGGGTGATAAGGAAATATGAAGCATGGGCCATCAAGGCATAGGGTCCAATCTCATCGGGCTTACCTCTCATCTCGCTGAGGATATTCTGACAGCACTGGAATGCTGAGGGCCTCGTCTGTCTCGTTGTCTTGGAGAGGTGGTTGCTCCGGCTCACACTCCGGCTCACACTCCGGCTCACACTTCGGCTCCAGCTTCGGCTGCCGGTAACTTTCCATCTTCTTGCGGTGCTTCCCGTTTCTCTTGACCATTCTCTTTGTCAGTTGGCGTCAGTCCAATGGTGTAGATGAGAAGGCGGGTGATGAAGAAGAAGCGGTTCTGTGTCGGTTTAATAGCCTACCCGAGGGAGGTCAGACTGAATGGATGAGGAAAGTACAGTACACAGAGACCCCCAGAATCCAGTGACACGTCAGTCTCTAGCCCTGCAAACAAGGCCGCGAATGTTATGCGTATCCGTGGAACACGCCGGGCGGCTGGTGTGCGCTGGCAGCAAACGGCGTGGTGTTCCAAACTGCTGGGACGAGGCAGCCAGTGGCTGTTAAGCGGGGTAGGAACCTGACCCTGGCTTACCTCCACTTCCATGATCGACTACTTTACGCCTTGCCAAGAACTTCACTTAGTTGATCACAGGGCAGTTGTTTCGGGAAAAGAAGAAGATTATGTAACTATTATTGGATACTTTGCAAATTTCGGGTGCTTCACCATCGAGTCATTCTCCCCGTTTGAGGACAGCCTATAGAGCTTGTCAACTAGATCGGAAGTCTGTTAGCTTTGTGCACTGTGGAATCTCTATAGTTTGTATAGTATCATCAGGGTGAGGGCTCAGTCAGAGAACTTGTACTCATGGTAAGAGAAGAAAAAGACCCGAAAACGCCCATCTGAAGCTCTGGAGCCGTGAACTGTTCTCAACCGAACAAGAACCCCTCTAATTCTAAGCTGATCTACGCGCGGGTCCGGGCTCGAGCTCGGCCCACGAACCCTAACTCTCATCTAACCTTACTGCCTAGTCTTAGCTATGGTCAAAATGTTCTATTCGATGTGACTACTGTGAACGGCACTGTTATGGCGATATAGAATTCTTTTTCACAACAACATGACCCAATCTACATTTCTTGTCACAGAATTTCTAATGCCTGCATGCCTCAAACTTCAGTTGTCGACGTGTCAGCTGCCGGAATGAGGGGAAACGGGCATCAGGCGTACTTGATTGGACCCCATTCGGAGAGTCAACCGCGCTAATGCAAGAGCTTCTCAGAGACAGTTCGCAGTAGATTGCGCGTGTCGGAGCAATGAGCGGGGGTGGCAGGGCAGAGTGCTAGCAATCTAGTGAATGTGGTGGGTTTGCCTGGAAGCCCTTTGCCAGAGTCGGGAAGGTTCCCTCGAATGCCGCCCAACGCCCGCTAGAGCTGCATTTGTATACATCTCAATTTGGCAACTGCTATTTTATTTCGTAATCATTCAACCAGCATCATCGGACACTGAGAGTACATGGCTCTTCACTGCCTTGGCAGCGGTCTTGGGCACTGCAGCGGCGGCAGTAAAGGCAACGCAGGCCAGGAAAATGTGAATTTCATCCCCGTAGCTCTACCTGTATCCTGATACCGCTCGCGCTCTCGACTAACACATCCGCAACAGGCGAGACCTTCTAGACTTCGCGATCTAAAAGCCACCTCCAAATTGTCCGGAGGGTTAAACACGCTACAGAATGCTTCTGCACGAGGCCACTTGGCTGCTAAGCTACCAGAATCAGCTTAGCAGGAGTCCGGGTCGACGTTCGCTTCCAGAGGGTGTTCCAGCAAGGAGCCAAACAAGTTTCGTCAAACCAAGGCCACGAAGTGTGCCCGCCTGCCCAGTACACACAGCGATTTGGCTAGCGCTCAAATGGAATGTAAAACTGTCGATTGGGCGCGTCACGCCCCCAGTGATTCAGCACGTAATGGGCTACGGAATGAGGCTTACCGGAAATTTCAAGAAGAGGATCCCAATGGCATGGAGTGACATATGTACTCAGCATTGTTGGGCTTCGGCTATGAATCATAGAATATCGCATGATGTGTGCTTCGGGCTTTGCGCAGCAGGGCTACTAAATCCACGCGCAGAGATTGTACGCCCCCGTTTCGGAATGCAATGACTTGTAGGTAGTATCGTCAGTTTATTTTGGTCGCTGGCATTGGGACGAGAGTATAATACTCTAGCTGGACGACATGTATACCTAGTAGAGTGTATGAACCTTGATTTTCCATTTGAATAGTTTCATGCCGCCAAACTACCAACTTGACAAGCAGAAGTGGGGTTCAGATCAATCATGCTTTATCGGAGCTCAAGAGAGCAAATCTTAACTGAGGCGTCAGTTCTTGGTACGCTAACCTATGGATAAAAATAGCCTATTATTTTCTCAATCTATCATAGTATGGGGCGGGAGAACCGGGGGAAGTGGTCACGGGTCATGTCAGCCTTGCCCTAAATGCGAGAAGCACTAGTGAGACGGGTGGATGCTGTAGCCGCCTTACGGTGCTACTTTGTACGTACTGCACGCATGGCCACGTCAGCATTGTGACCTGCTCTTACGATGCCTATTTTGTTTCCAAAAAGTGTCGTGTCACTGTAAATCTGACCGCGAACCCTTTCCTTCACTTTCAGTGCATCTCTACACATAAGCTTTCCACACCAGATATGGACAATTTCGATCCAAACAATACCCTTCTCGAAGGAAATACGCATTATTGAAGGTCGCAGCGAGATGATAACCCCCATGGCGAGAGAGACTTCTGCGAACTGGTATACTATACATCTAAGCGCGCACCAATAGGTCACACCTTCTCATACAGAAGACGGCGCGTACTCTTTGGCCTCTCTCTACATAAAATGCCTACCTCTTCTTTCATTCGGTCTCACTTTCAACTCCAATATCTTGCTCACGCTTTCGTATCTGCTTCTTATCTTGCTTGTCTGTTCTTCTGTTTGATTTTTTAGTCTCGAGATGGACAAAGTGTAGTTCACCCTCCGTCAAACCGACTACCCGGCTCCCCCGGAGGAAGCCCTACTCTCCGGCCACCGCTTCCCGGGTAGCATCACCACGTCCAACCCTGAAACTGCACCTGAAACTGCACCCTCGATTACCCTGTGAAGGGGAGGGTCACCAGGGGACTGTCGCTTATACTGTGCAAGTCGTGGGAAAGAGGTATGAAGATGAAGCTTTGATGTATGCTGTCGAGAAAATCTCGCAGGCTCTTCATTCATGAGCTCCTGGGGAGACATTGCCTGTTCGCCTTTTGTGCTTGGGAGCAATTAAATGCTACGTATGGCTTGAATCTTATTTGATAAACCAGGTGTGGAGGAGATCAGCAGTGTTTTTATTCTTGTCTCTACTACCTGCCATAGTACATCTACCACGCACTATTATACATACGAACTCAACTTCGTGCTTGATACCCTATGAATGACCCTTTACTAGAAATATTTGTCCAGTGAGTTACGATTCCGCTGCCTTGAAGGCGGTAACCACCATCTTGTTAGTCAATATCAACCCAACCAAGCGGGGAAGCCAATAAGGGGAATTGCTTCACTATCTTCTACTTCGTATAAGCATTATAGATTCCCGGCGTGACGGAGTCTCCTGCCTCCTGTGGTTAGTTGGGCACCTCACCGCCTCGGCCGCGTGTACATAGTTCCTCCTAGATAGCCTGGAATCTACTATCTTCACGCTCTCATGGAAGTTAAATGAGGGACAGTCTAGAGAGCTGCAGAGCTTTGCACGCGCTGGGACGTATACCTATAGATAGACGCAAAGCTTGAAAGATAACCAGACCCAAAGCCACATTATCAATACGGCGCCTCTGGCAAGAATGAGTGAATATCGGATATCGGGAATGTTATCTACAACGAATGACAAACATCGAGTTCTTTGGCCTCAATTAAACTTTTCCATATTTCGCTTTACCCATTAGCTACGTTCAGCTTCTCCGCTACTCCGCATTTTTTATAGTTCCACCCCGCATTCACAACACTTCGGCACATAAATAGTATAGACCCAGCGTTGGAAATAGATTTGGATAGTATTCCCTCTTCCTTTATGTCTAGAGAGACTCATTTGATACACATAGTCTTACTCCTCGAGCTGAGCAGGCTTGAGGTAATCGAGCATTTCTATGATTATGCCCAGAGTTAGTATCCGACAGAAGTTTCACCATGGAAAAGATTTCCTCACCTTTGATATCGGTGCTGGATATCTGATCGGCAGGTATAATACAAGCTGGACGATCCACAAGATTCCAGACAATAGTGTAGGTGGTCCGGAGATATGTGTCGTGTGGCACTGCCGGATGAGGGGCGCCAGGCGCCAACACAACATCTAGACTGTCCCGTCGGAAGACGTCGGTCCAATCTTCAATGAGCTGGTCCTTCTCTAGGTTCATTTTCACGGGATCCTCCAAAGTTTTGGTCGCCTTTTCATAGCCTAAACCAGCCTCGATGGCTGCAACCAGAGAGGGAATGAGGGGCTCTCCTGATTTAGTCGCATGGTACAGAGGATAATGTTCATGGTCCAGAGCAAAGTAAGAGAGGGCCAGATGTTCTGCATCCACAATAGAGGGAAACTTCCCAAGGGGGATAACTTCATGCCCAGCCGAGATCAGCTTTTGGGCCACTGACTGAATCGTGTGAAGTACTTCCGGCTCGCAAGGTCGCAGAGGGTCTTCCAGGAGAAGGCCAATTCGGAGAGAACCCAACTCCTCTGGCCGACTCCATGGTATCGGGGGGCAACTGAGATCTGTTTTCCATGGGCTAGCCTGGATGACAGACTGTAAGAAAAGACGAAGGTCCCTGGCCGAAGTCGCGAGTGGTCCCGTAACCGGGAGGAAGCAAGGGACAACAAGCCGTACGGGTACAACTTGTCCCCCATGGGAATCCGGCTTGCAGGGGGCCTGAAGCCGTATGTGCCGCAGCAAATGGATGGGATGCGGATGGAGCCAGCAATGTCGGTGCCGACGCCGAGTAGAGAACCGCGAAGAGCGACTAGCGCGCTTCTCCACCACTGCTTCCTCCGGCTGTAAGGGTGAGATTTCTCGGATTCTAGCGACAGTAAACATATGTAGTTCGTGATTGTAATGCTCAAGGTTCGGGAATGGGACTAAATAATCTTACTAAGGTCCGTCCAAAAATGTTGTTGTGAGAATCTGCAGTCTAGTGAATGATCTATCAGTCGCTACAGTTTGGTGTTGTTGCAGACTCGAAATCCACTCACCATGCATGATTGAGGCACGTTTGTCTTGACGTACAAGACCGCCCCAGGCGAAAGCAATATGTCGACAAGTGGAGAATTCTCGGTTGCTGGTCCATTTTTAATGAAGGATACATATTCAATCGTAGAGTATTCGCCGGTCACATTTAGAGAGTCCTACACCATTGTTAGTAATAATTTATCGAGCACGACTGTACGTCTGGACCTTCAGGCTGATTGGAAGCCCGTGTAATGGTCCCATAGGGCGGCCTTTTCTTTTGAGATACTCGTCCAGAACCTTGGCGCGCTCTAGGGCAGTCTCGAAGAATATTTCCGTCAAACAATTGGTCTGATAGGAGGTTAAAAATTATCCACAGTTTGACAACGTCAGACACTAACCAGCTGCTGGGCGATGGCCGTTCGCTTGCAAAATGCCGTACACACTTCTACAGCAGAGTATTCGGAAGTCGAAAGCTTCTCTAACAAAGCGGTTGCATCCAGCGTCTCCGTGATTTCTAATTCCCGTGAATCTAGAATGCTTGACTGCGCTGGAATCCGAGTCACGCTGATTGGGGAATTGGGAGAGACAGTAGCGAGGATCTCAGGTGTCAAGTGCCATTCTTTCCGTATTTGGGCCAAGGCTCGATCCCGATGGGACGAGGTAAGTGTCTGCCATGACGGTGGGGGGTGGATGGGAGCCATGAGAGATGAATGGGTGGTAGTACTGTGCCTTGAGATTCAGGAAAAGAAGACTGCCTTTGGTTGAAGATCTCGACTATGCGAATGTGACCTATGTGCCCCCATTTATATATGCCTGGCAGTGGACTTGCAGAATGCTAGCGGGATAACTTGGAATCCATTTACACTTTCACATATCAAGAAGCGGGGGGATTCCGGCAAGTGGACGATCCAATCAGATGGTTTACCGCTAGCTGCCCCCAGATACCCCAGTGGGATCACCCTCGCGCATACTCAGTCAGTTCGTGTACGATTGTCAGTGGAGATTTGATTATTAATTTCAGATCTGCCGGCTTTATGTTCGTTCTCTGAGTTCATTTGCTAATGAACCTCAGATTATACCTGGATAGGAAGCGGTACAAGAGAGACGGAAGGCGGTGGATCGATGACAGTGGCAAAAACGACAATCGTATCGCACCGAACCGAGTAAGTTGCTCCAAGCTACCCTGCACACTCGGCCGGTGTTATATCTTGTGGACACCATTTGCAATAAGCCTGACCTCCACCCTTTCACCCTTTCCCCAAAGACCGCTGCCCCGTTAGCCAAACGCAAGGGATGGGACCTAAGTCACAAAAACCGAAGTCCCGTACTAAGACGGGATGTTTGAGATGTACGGCCGCCCCTCCTGTATTCGTGATACCGGATCGTTACAGCTTATGCATCACGTGACCCAGGCCGACAGCAGGCGAAGAAGTGCAATGCTCAGAAGCCCCAGTGCAGTTCATGTGCCAAAGCCGACGTACCATGCATCTGGCCTGACGTCCAAGTCCTGGAGAGCAGAGATCACCGCCGTCGAGACGCTCAGTTTCCATGTGCAGTGACCCAGAACCCGCCGGGTGGACTTGACGGGGCTTTTGCGGCCAGGGATCAGCCAGAAGCAAATATTCTGCACCAAGCCATCGGCGTCTTCTTGCCTCTACTGGATCTACCTACCGCACACTCTGAGTATGGCAAGGTACGAAACTATATTGTCGGGATTGCATGCCATAATATTGGCGTGATGACAGCACTCCTGACTTGTGGTGCTCTTTTCATGTCGACTGAGGATGCGCTGTACAGCGCAAGAGCGCTTCCGTATTACAGCCAGTCTATTGTCCATCTTCAGGAGAACCTGAAGCTTGTCCAGCTGGGTAGTGCTTTGGATGAAGCGACATTGGATTTACCTACTGTCAATGTGATATTGCTTTGTTTAGCAGGGGTACGTGAAAAGAATATTACTATTTTCTTGGTCAGATGAACTGATATTTCTTCCGACCAAAGTCATGGGGCAAAGAAGTATCGGCTGATCACAGATGCCATATTCTGGAAGCCTGTCGCATCTTCCAGTTCCGCATGAAGCACTTGAGCAAATCGATCTGCCGATCCCGAAATAGTCTTCTCTTCCAGCGTATCCTATGCGAATCCATCATCCATCAAGTCTGCTTAACGCAGATGACTATGCCTACACTGGATGGATCTGACCTGAATCTTATCGAAGAGACTCTATGGCCTAGTATCCAACTGGAGCTTGGGTCTCGGATTTTTAGCAACGATTCATGGTCGACATTGGAGAGTCCCATTCTGGGGCTTCCCTGGCAATTACATAAGCTGGCGTTCGATGTGAACAACCCTAAAAATGGCAGTGACCCTGATCTGATCACTTTGCTGCTACATAACTGTGAAGTCTGGAAGCAAGGACTGGGAAATATGGCGCTGGGCAGCCAAACAGTTCTCAGAGGCAAACTGCATCTTTTGGCTTTAGCAGTCCTCCTATCTTCGCGGCTCTCTGTAATTCTGGAGACCAAAACCCCGCCGCACACTGTGCGCAGGGTATCTTTGCATTTTCAGCAATTGAACCAGCGACTGCTGAGAGAGGCACGGTCACTTCTGGGATCTTCCCATGAAATGTTGCTGATGGATGATACTTTTCATGGGATATTGGGCCTAGATATCCTCAAGAGAGCTATTCACGACTCTTTTGAATCTTCATTGATCGAGTACCTCCTGCAAACCAAATGAGATAGGTACCGCTGTCGACAGATCAAATGTGTCATTGAAGACCCAAGGAAAGACTAGGACAGTCAGGCTATTCTCGGCGCTTTATAAATCCAACTATGCATTCCATGAGCCAATACAACTTAATCAATAAATCCGTATTTACGAAGAGACTCATCTCTCCTAATTGCCACTGCTCTTGATGCTACGGAGAGGCGGGCTTTTCTAATGCCCCACGTGTGCGAATATTACGTGCACAAGGAGAAATGGCCTCGTGCCGGGACTCAGTATTAGGGCTAGAGTTTGGAATAATGGGATGAACAAGTGCCTTTCGCGAGACCAAGAGTGTCAATGTATTGCCTTAAGGTGTTGCTGCTAATCTGCCTAAGTAGGCCGGGGGTGCCGCGTTCTCAGCCGGCAGCAGTCTGGTCACCGCGCTCACATCCCGTGGCCGGATTACGCAGGAACGCCGATAAGAACCATCCTTCTTAAGTAATTAAACCGTCAGTGACTATCTAAACTTCCTCCTTTCTCTTCAGTACTCTTACAAAACCTTAAGGTCAAGGAGGGGCAAGGGTGCTAAGCAGCTAGCAGTGGGCCCGTCTGCCACAACTCGTCGAGAGATTCGCCACTTCCCTTAAACGAGGTGGAGGGGTTGGCCACGGGGACAGACAGCATCGTAAACGTAGACTGGCACAAAGTCATAAACGACATAGTGAATGTGCGAGATGTTGAGTCTATCGCAGGGTGCAGTGCTCAAAGGCATAGCGCCCCCAGCAAAATAATATTCAAACCTCCGGACGTGGATGAAAATTCAATACGAAGGAACCTTACTTCTTCTGGGCAGATACCAAGGCAATCTGAACCAGCCAAGTCGACCGACAAGAACGACGCGATCACTGAGCAACAGGAAAACCTTTCGATTAGAGGCTAGCTTAGCACATATGTCTCCGAATGATTCTCGGACACCCGATGTACTTTCACGCAGACACTGCCAGAGTCCGCTATCTTGGGCTTTGTGTACTCATGTGGGGGCTTGGTAGTGTATTCAAGAGCAAAACGGGGGTGGGTGGAGGCTTTGCTTTTCACTCCGCACTAGTCTTGTACATTTACCGAATGCGATTGCCTGGAAACTGAGACTTTTTTTCAAAATGACGCTTGGAGGTTAACAATGCTAAGCCTTAGGGTAAATATGAGTGGTTTTGTGAGCAGAGGGTGCCAAGGGTTGGTTGGGGGCCAGATCTTTGAGTGATTGATTCTAGTCGTAGCATTAGTCACATTCTTGATAACTGATAGTTCTGAGGTAAGATAGCCCTAGCCTACATAACAGATGGCTTTTGGGGCATCTCCGTCTTCATTAAGATAGGAAAAGGAAAACAAACGGAAAACAAAGGAGAGTACTGAAGTAGCATCCAACGGGAGGACGGATCACTTCACCCTCACCTCCACCTCCATCACCTTCTGGATCTGCAGCTGGCCCTCGTAGCCTGCGACCTCCCCGTGCTCCCCCATCCGGCCCGTGGGCGGCGAGGAAGCCACTGCTGCGCTATGAGACGCCGCCGCGGGCCCGGGCCCATGATGTCCATGTCCATGTCGCCCTCCGCTCTCGCCGCTTCGCCTGCCGCCGTTGCTCTCCAGCGAACTGGTGTCCCCACCGCTGTGCTCGATCGCGGTCGTCCCGTCACCGCGTTATTGGGGCTACCTGAGAGGAACTAGCAATATGCGCGGCGGGCGGTGAGCGGCCCCGGCTGTCGGAGGCCTCGGGACCGCCGACAAAATTACTACTGTCAAAGCAACGTTTCCATCTCAGAATTATATTATCTATTAGGCTAAGATAGAAGCTAACTCAACACAGTTCTGCTTCGTAACAGCAGATACCATCGGATTCGATCCACACGAGCACGAACCCCTCCAAAAGTCCATGGGAACGGTTGCAACCGTTTACAGGTTGCCCTGACCGGCGCTGGAGGCAGGGTTGGTGCTGGCAGCACTGGGAGTAGGGAGAGAATCGCCATCGAACGCTTCGAGCGCAGTGGTTGAGGTGCCAGTGAGGTCACCACCGTTGGAGTTGGCGACGCAAGAGCGGCCGATGTAGGAGGAGCAGGTGGAGGAGGCGCTGTCGGAGGAGAAGAGGACACCCTCGAAGGTGTCGGTCTCAAGGACGGTGTCGACATCCTCGAAGTAGTTACCCTCGGCGAGAACATAGCCGCCGGAGCCGATCTCGAAGGCGTGGCCGGAGTTGTCGTTCCAGTAGTTGTTGTAGATTGAATACTCATCTATGACTACTAACTACTTATTCTAAGATATTATCTTGTAAGCAGGCTTAGATTCCAACTCCCAACCACAATATAGTTAAAATAAAGGGTCATATATAAACACTGCCCAACTAATCAAATTCTCAATAAATTCAGTACTATAATATAGGAATTTCTAGTATTTAAAACAAGAAGTTTTACGGGCCTGCACCTCGGCAACCATTCAAAGTACTTCCCACTGCACCCTAAATCAAGAAACCAGTTTATAGAACCGATGTTTAAACTTGTTGCACCATATATATAAGAATGTTCGGGCAAGCGGGTAAGGCAAGGATCGGTCATAATCAGACAGTAAATACTTTAAAAGCTGGAAGACTAAGACCATACAAATTTTATTTCTTATTATTGTTGTTATTATAGAAGAGAAACTGGATACGGCTATATGGTGTTTTCAACTTCCGGCCGTTACGTGACCCGGCGATCCCAGGCCACCAACGCCGACACACTCCATAACACATAAAGTAATATTATCTTGACTTCTGCGGATATAACCGTAGCTGCAATTGCGATCTAGGACTGGATACCTTGTTAATATCATGAATATTGTTTGGGGTAATATATATTGACGTGCAGCATCTAAATCGGTATCAAGCGAGACGTGGACCTTAGCTTCACTTATGTATCGGAAGCGATCTGCCGTATCAGCAGTAGAAGATGCCCATAACAGCAAAAAGAGGCATATAAAAATAGCAAGCGTAATAAATAATAAATGCGAGCAAAGAACACCATCTGAAATACATAGCGGGCCGAGGGGGTAAGTTACAGTAGTTGTACGGTGGTTTTCTCCGGTTATATAAAGTTTTAATAGAGTTATATAAAGTTCTGACTAATTATAAGCTTTTTAAATCTAGAAGTACTAATCTTTATATAAATAATAGATTATATTAAAACTATATCTTTTTAACTAGATCTAAAGTAGTTTTCAGCCTTAAGTAGTCAGAGCGAAGTGAGGATCACCAAGCCTTGTATATATATTTTTTTCTAGCTACTATTATTGGTTTTTCTATAGAAAAAAACTTTAAAAAACTAATTTACAAGTTATTTTTATTATTCTTTATTTTAAAAAAATATATTAATATTTATATTATATATAATACTAACTGTTTAGTACTAAGAGTTATAGATAAAAACTAGATCTAAGCCTATAATTTTTATTTATTTAAATTAAAATTACCAAAACTACTATAGAATTTGATAAAAAAAAGCAAGTTGAATTTTATTATTTATTATATTCAAATTATACTAAAAATATAAGACTATTTTAAAAAGAATATACTATTTCTAATTATATATTTTATTTATTATCTAGTTATTATCAGACTACTATAAATAAAATTATATAATATATAACCAAATCTTACTAAATATACTATATAATATTTTAGTTTATATTACTAAAAAAACTATAATATATCTACTAAAATCTTAAAAATTAAAATATTGTATAATATATCTGTTTAGAGACCTGTAAACTTAAAAATTTCGGGATTTTAAAAAAATAAAATATATATTTTATATTATTAGTTATTTATATAGTTTATATTCAAAAAGAATATTTAATATATACTATTACTGTTAGCTAGATTAATGAAATATTAGAATCCAAATCCGAAGATATTAGTTTACAACTATTTAAAAAGTTTAGAGACTTTATGTTGGCCGCTTCAAAAGCCGACTAAGGTGATATACTTAATGGATTATAAGTGGTTGATTTCTCTATCTATATAATATATATATATTAAAGATTGCCTGAGGCAGGAAGTAGTCTACACTAGCAGAATAGTTAGATCGCCCGAGATATATAAGCACAATAGTTAATATTTTTTTCAGCTTACTATAAGAAACGTATAAAGCAAGACAAGCAAAAAAAAAGAATATATAATATATTATAAAGAAAATATATATTAGATAAGAAATATATAAAAAATAAAAAATAATCTGCATAAATATATGCTGAAGAAAATGTATATTAAATAAAAAATAATATATACTAAAAAAAATATATATTAGACAAGAAATAATATATACTAAATAAGAAATATAAGAATAATATTTAAGAATATAAGATTAATATAATCAAGGTTTTTAATATTAGATCTTATTAAATTAATATTAAAGATTATTAAATAAGAGCTATTTATTAAAAGATTTTTTAATAAAAATATTAGTATTATTATAGTTAAAGAACTAATTCTTAACAGCTTTAAAAAATATTTATATTTTATTATTTAACAGTTTTATAGGTTTATTTTTTTTGGTTTTAATATAAAGTTTAAATACTATTGCTAATAGGCTTTAAAAATTTCTGTTAAAAAAATTTTTTTTTTTATATTTTAAGTAAAAAGGGCCTTAGCCGGCTACAGATATATTTAAAAAATCTTTAAATATTATAGAAAGTTTATAGATTTTTCGAAATAATTTTTTTATTATAGTTAGTATAGGTACTTTTTATATTAGATATTTATTCTAAATCTATTTATATAACAGTAGAAGATTTAAATTATTATGTATAAATATTATATTAGTACTAGCTGTTTAATTTTAAAAAAAATAAATAAAATTATTTAAATTAAAGTCTAAATCTTTAGTTTTTATATTAAATAATTTTTTAGAATATTTCTTGTTTATCTCTGCAGCGTAAATAATAGTAGATATTTTTATTTTTATTTTTTTATAGTAATAGTTTTTATTTTAGTTTTTTTTTAATAATAGCTTCAGCTTTTTTTCTAGCTGTAATTTTAGTTTTTTTTCTGGTTTTCTCTACTATATATTTCTTTTTTAAGTTGATTTTTTTAGATAGATTATTAAGATTTTAATCAACTTTTTTTACTTTTATCTTTTAGTAGTAGAAACCGGAATAAATATATTATTTATTTAACTGTTTTATATTCTCTAAGTTTTTAAAATTATATAGTCTGTTAATAATAAATAAGACTGCTTTTTATACTAAATAGTTATAGTTTTTATATTTAAAAATAATTTTATTAAGTTGGTTTTTCTTGGTTTAAATAAGAATATTTATTTTAATAAGTAATATATTTTTTAATCTAAATATCCCGAGCGCCAGTCGCGTGTATATTAGTTAAAAATTTTTAATATTTTTTTAATATTATTATAATATTAAGTGATTTATATAAATATTTTTTTTTTGATTTTATACTCCGAGTTAAACTCTAGAATCTTTATATAGATTTATTTAATAGACTAATTAATACTAAGATTATTAATAATTTTATAAAGCTTAGTACCGATCTGGCTTATTATATAAATATATTTAATTAAATTATTATAATATATTATATTAACTATAAAGTACTTAGTACCTATAGTCCAGCCGATTTTAAATTTTAGTAGAATTAGTAAAATAAAAACTAAAGCTTTTAGTAATATTAGCCAGAAGTTTAAAAAATTATTAAATTTAAAAATTAGATTAAGATATTATATTAGTAAGATATTAGTTTTATTAAAAATATTATTATTAGACTTATACTTTAAGAAGATTTTAAATAATATAAAATTTTCTATTTTTAACTTAAACTTCTTAGTTTATTTTAAGTTATTTCTTTTATTCTTAGTTTTTTTCTTTATCGCGTAAAATATATTAGTTAAAAGAATTTCAGCTTGATTAAATATAATAACTAGATTATTTATTTTAAAATTAGTATAATCTAATATAAAAAAAAATAAGAATATAAAATAATATTAGAGTGGCTAACGGCCAGGTCAGGTCAGGTTAATTGGAATTTTTATATCTGACCGCCAGGTTATAGTTAGGTTAAGAAAATTTTTATATCTAACCACAGTATAGCTAAAAAAGAGATAGTTAATTATTTTAACTATTTTTAGTATTAAGATCTGTCTGCTATATTTATTTAGGCTTTAATATAGTTAAGATATATTTAGATTAAGCAGTTATTAATCTAACTATCTTAACTATTATTTATAAATATATAGAAATAAGCTTTTTAAATCAGAAAAAAATAACTAAAAGAAATATTAATATCTTTTTTATTTTTATTTTAAAGAATTAATTAGAGATTTCTAATAGTACTAATAAAATTTAGTTTTTTATAAAATTATAATTCTTATAGTAAAAAATATATATAAAAATATATAATTATAGCTCGGTTTAAGCTATATATCTTAATTATAATATATAATATTAGAAAAACTATATATTTATTAATAATTAGATTATTTAAAATAAATATATTATTTTTATTTTATTATTTTTTTTCTTATTTTAGCTTAGATAGTCTATTATATTTTTATTTTTATTTAAAAAAGCTGAATTATCTGTATAATAAATTAAACTTAAAAAAAATCTCTATAATATTATTTATATAGTTTTTTTCAGCAACTGTACTTTTTAATAACTATTTTATTAAATATTAGATACTATAAGAATAGTTTATTATTTTTATTTTTTTAATTTAATTAATCTTTTTTATTTTTTTTATCTAGTTAATTTTTTTAATTTATTTAATCTTTTTAATTTTAAATACTTTAAAAACCTGCTATTAATTATATTAATTTTATTTTATTTATTTAATTTAACCGATTCTTTTATATAATAATAATATATATCTTAAAGTTTTTTTATATTTTTCTTTTTTTTTCTTTCTTTTTTTATACTTAAAATTCTTATATCTTAATACTAAATAGATTAGTTTTTAATTATTTAAATAGCTTTTATAGATATTATATCTTTTATAAAAAGCTTTATATAAGTCTTTTTTAGGTTTTTTTTATAAATATTAAAGTAATCTGACTAATCTGATTAATCTAATTAACTAAAATAAATAAGATGCGGTAGGCGCCTTAGCTATATTTAAAATATAATAAATTATATTTATATAAAAGTATATTTTAAAATAAAATAAATTATTTTTAAAAAATTTTCTATTTTTTTTTTTTTATATTTATTATTTGTAGAGTAGTTATAGAATTATAAGTTAATTATAATTATTTAGTTTATTTTTAGAAAATACTATTAAGTTTTTTTTTTCTGTTTCTTAGATATTTATAAATTATAATAATATTTAAATTAAGATAAGCTTTTTAAATCAGATTTTTTCTTTTTTTTTAAATCTTCAGATTACGTGTATTATAAAGAATCGGAAGATTATTTTATATTTAATTTATAAAAAAAAATATTCTATT